AACTGTAAATGTTAAGAAAATAGATGTTAAACTACATTGTTCAGGGAATAATGACAAGAAAATGTCTGTGCATAGACACACAACTTTTTTTTCCCCCAGATACTTCAGATCTTAGTTGCTTGAACCCAGGGATATGGAACCTAGAGATACAAAAGGCTGAGTATACTTAGCCCAAGACCGCAGCACTCAAAAGGGAAAGCTATCCCAGGGTAAGGGGTAAAAGCTAAGCAGAGCTGTTGGAATCACTTAAAATTAGTGGAAAAGAAAAGTAAAGAAGGTAACATTGACCACAAGAAAAAGTGGAAACTACCAAGCTTTCTAGACCACTTGCTACCAGAGGAAATTACTTACACTGTTCTAACACATAACAACCATACAGAGTCTAAAAGATTATGAGCAGGCAGACAAGCTGAACAAAGAAATTAAAATGAAACACAATCGTCCCCATTTTCTACCACCAGAGATGCATAATTAAGGTTTTTATGTTTCACATACTTATTCTAAAGTTCTAATCCTACACTTATCAACATAAAGAATCTTATAATTGTCAAACATCACTCGTTTACCAAATAAAAAGCAACTTAATTTTTTAACAACTTTTACTACCAGGTGGCTGTATAAATACAGCAGAGTGCCACAAATAGGTTTGTGATTATAATAAAATGAAGACACTAAGTTGAGCCAGGTGCTGTGGCACCCACCTGTAATTCCTGCACTCAGGCGGCTGAGGCAGGAAGATCACAAGCTCAAGGCCAGCCTGGACTGCACAGTGAGACTCTGTCTCGAAAAACAAAACAAAACATGCTAAAACTAGTGTTGTAGATGTATGTTCATTGACACTGAATGGTACTCAGACAAAATTAATTTGAAATGTAGACTTCAAAAGAGAATGTTCATGATGACCCAGATTTTAAAGGCATAAAAATCATCAGTTAACAAATCCCAAAGAATCCACCAAAAAAACCCTACTGAACCTAACAAATTCAGAAATGCTACAGGACACAAGATCAACATACAAACATCAGATGTATTTCCGCACAATACATAATAATGATGCACGCAAAAAGGAAATTAAGGAAACATTCCTGTTAGGGTTGAGCTGGAGAATGCACCCCCAAAGCTTCCTACACTGGGGTGTGGGTGGGGTATGACCGGCTCAGGAGGGGCTAAGGATGCTGTCAGGGGGGTGGGTGACCACCCTGCCGCCTCCCTTTTCTCTCCTTGTCCTGGCCACCACGACTGTGAGCAGGTTTCCCACCGCTGTGCCGCTCTGCTGTTCCATTTCTGCCTCGCAGCCAGTGGACTGTGGACTGACAATGTGAGTCAAAGTAAACCTCTCCTGCTTTAAGCTGTGGGTGTTCGGTACTGTAACTCAGTGCAAAGAAGTGACCAGGACAATTCAATTCATCATAGAAAATAATGAGGAATAAATTAAACCAAGGAGGTATAACACATACCCTGAAAACTATACAATTTTGCTAAAAGAAATTAAAGTATAACTAAATACACAAAAACGTATCACACGACCATGAACTGGAAGTTTTCTTGGAGTTTTTTAGATATCATAAAGATGACAACACTCCCCAAAGTGACCTGCAGATTCAATATAATCCCAATCAAAATCCTGAAACTTTTTTTTGCAAAAAAAGATGATCCTAAAATATATGTAGAAATACAAGGAATCCTAAATAACCAAAACAATCTTTAAGAAAGATCAACATTGGAGAACTCGCATTCCTCAATTTCAAAACCTATTACAATAATTAAAACAATGTACTGGCCCAAGAACAAATACGTTAATGAAAAAGAATAAGAAGTCCAGAAATAAACCCATACATCTGTGTTCAACTTATTTTTGACACAGGTACCAAAAAACTGCCCTATAATAGTTCTTAGAGACCTAGATATCCACATGCAAAAAAAAAAAAAATGAAAACAGACCTTTACCATAAACAAAAACTGGCTCAAAATAGATTAATTACCTAACTATACAAAATAATAAATATATAAAATCATTAGAAAACAATGTAATACATATTCATGGCCTTCGTTTGGCCATGATTTGTTAGATATAACATCAAAAGCACAAGCCGTTAAAAAAATAGAAAACCGAGGCTTCAAAAATAAATAATTCTATGGCACACGCTTGTAATCCCAGTACTTGGGAGGCTGAGGCTGGAGGATCGTTGCGAGTTGAAGACCAGCCTGGGTTACAAAGTGAGCTCAAGGCCAGCCTGAGCCATATAGCAAGACCCTATCTCAAACAGACAAAAATAATAAATAAATTAATTAATTCTGCACATCAAAAGAGAACTTATCAAGAGAATTCCATTCAACTGAACTCTTTCCCTTCTAGGTATCTTCCTAAAAGAATTAAAGACATTACAGTGATACATGCGCACCCATGTTTATAGCAGCACAATTCATAATAGCTAGATCTTGGAGGTAGCCTGTATGTCCACCAACTGATAAATGGATAAAGAAAAGGTGCTACTGGCACATAATGAACTACTAATGTGCCCTAAGGAATAAGCTTCAGTTATTTGTAGAAAAATGGATGCACTTTGAGACCAAAATGTTAAGTGAAATAAATCACAACCTTAAGTATCATGTGGTTTCTCTTATATTAAAAACCTGAAATATACATAAAAAGCAAAATAAAAGATAGACAATAGGAAGTAGAGAGATAGATCCTTCTCAGATAGGAAGGGGATGAGATGGAGAAAGAGATGGAGAAAGGCAGGAGAGGAGGGAAAGGGGATGAAAAAAGAAGTAAGATGTATTATGTGCACTTACCAACTCCTTTCAGGGAATGTAATCCTTATGTACTACAAACATGCATTAGTAAAAAATTTAAAAAAAAAAAAACAAGATAGCACACAGAATGGAAGAGAATATTTGCAAATGACTGATATTGATAAGAACTAAAACTCAAGGAAAAGGCAAAAACCTAAAGTGAACAGACATTTCTCCAATGAGATAAACAAACGACCAGCAAGCACATAAAAAGATGCTATCATTAGCCATCAGATAAGTGCAAGTCAAAACCGCAATAAGAACACCCGGGCTAGGTGTAGTGGTGCGTGCCTGTAATCCCAGCACTCGGGAGGCTGAGGCAACAGGACTGCTGTGGGGTACACGCTTTGGAGGCCAGCCTGGGGTACACAGTGTGTTTAAGACCAATGTGAACTACAAAGCAAGACCCTGTCTAAAAAAAAAAAAAAAAAAAAAAAAAATACCAGGTGTGTTGGCACGTGCCTGCAATTCCAGCACTCAGAAGGTTGAGGCAGACTGCTATGAGCTCAAGGCCACCTGGGCTACATAGTATGTTTAAAAGGATAGCCCAAACTACACCGCAAGACTCTCAAAAAAATCAAAACATAGTAAGATACTACTTCACTCCCACTATATTAGCTATTATCAACAATGGAAAATAATGAGCATTAGCAAGACTGTGGAGAAAATGGAATCCTCATGTACTGTTGGTAGGAATGTAAAAGAGTACAGTTGCTGTGGAAAATACTGCAGCAGTTCCTAAAATAGCTATACAGAGAAATACCATATGATCCAGTAATTCCACCTTTAAGTAAATATTCAAAAGACCTGAAAATAGATACATTTTGAAATATTACACTGTACCCAGTTACTACGTACAATTTTGATTTATCAATTAAAATATAATAGTAAAATTCAGTTTTAAAAACAGAATTTAAAAATGGGTATTTGAACTCTTTGGTCTCACCGGGCGTGGTGGCGCACAACTGTAATCCCAGCACTCAGGAGGCTGAGGCAGAAAGATCATTAAGTGTTGGAGACCAGCCTGGGCTACAAAGTGAGCTCAAGGCCAGCCCAAACTGCATAGCAAGATGCTGCCTCAAAAAGACAAAAAAACAAAAACAAAAACAAACTCTTTGGTCTCAGCAGCAGAAGTGAGATGACACAGGGAGTGTCATCATTTGGAAAGTGCAGTCATAACCACTGTGGCTCTAAGGGTACCAGCTGCAGAAGTTGACCTGTACAAAATAGGCCTATTCTGCCAAGTACAAGAGAAAGCGTAAGTGGAGTGTGAAGGCTAAAAGACAATACCATCAGGCAAAAGAGGCACCTAAAAATTGGGTACTGGAGAGTCAGGCATGGTTTCCATGAAGGAACAATAGCTAAACCCAAGAGAGCAGCTGTCACAGCATCCACTTATCTTGAGAATTCCACCCATTACTCAAAAGAAATGTTTTGGCTGGAAGGAAAAAAAGGAGGGAGGGAGGGGGAGATATAGAGGGAGGAAGAGAAGGAAGAGAGGGGTAGGGAGGGCACGGGGGAAAGAGAGAAGGGAAGGAGGGAGGGAGGGAGGGAAAGTAAATATTCAAATTCTTATATATGAATGTTCACAACAGTAGTAGTCACAATAGCCCAAAAGTAGAAGTTATCCAAACATTCATCAACTGATAAATGGATAAACAAAATGTGGTCAGGGATATTACCCATCCAGCCATAAAAAGGAATAAAGTACTAATACACATAGAGTGTCCTATTGGGGTGTTTTTTTGTTTTTTTTTTGTCTTTGCTCTGAGCTTCATCTCTAACCCTTCCTTTTATTTTATATTTTGGACACAGTCTCAATAAATTGCCCAAGCTTGGCTTAAACTTTTGCATTTCCTGCCTCAGCCTCCTCAAACACTGTGATTGTAGGCATACACAGCCATGCCCAGCTCGGGTTGATTAAAATGTCATGGAACCAAGGTGACGGTTGCACAACAACAGAATGAATGAAATGGTTGATGGATACAGTCACTTCATGTAATATTACACCTCAATAAAAAATAGGGATTATATTTCAATAAAGAAAGTCTAAAAGCCTAACGTATTTTAAATAAATGTATTTTCTCTTCAGAAACGACAGGTTATTAAACAGATTCAAAGCTATATTTCATCATAACACTTTTTATAGTTATTCTCCAAAATACATCTAAGAAAAATATGTATAGAATGCTCCTATTTCTTACCAGCAGACTCTTTTTCATTCTGTTTTTCATACAGGGTGCCCACAGACATCAGGAAAACAATAACCAGGAATACTGGAATTCTCCATGAGCCAGCCAGGGATGCTGAAAATCATTAAGAATTAACATTTTTAGCAAAATGAAAACCTAGTATTTTTTTTTTTAAAAGACTCGGTTTTTTAGACTGACAGAACAATTTGGTTTACACACTAATTACAAGATGATTACAGGGAAAAATTTTTAGAAAAATGCCATCAAAGAGATCTCGATTTGGGAGTGGGGCCGGAGGAGGTGGCTGCTGAGAACTAAACCCAGGGCTTTGTGCATACTAGGCAAGCACTCTGCCACTGAGATGTATCCCTGGCCCTCCATTCAAGATATTCTTGATACAAATTCATCCTTGCTCTCAGCACACACTCTAGAAGATCAGGTACATGCCAGCCTGTCCATCACCTACTGCAATCCAGTCCTGAGCTAAAGTATATGCCAAGTTTAAGGTCATTCTAAATCCAAACTAACCATAAGACCCCAGAATGTGCAGAATCAGGCACAGATCCTAATGTCATGGAGCTGGACTTAGTTTTCTGAGTATACCACTGGGAGTGATCAATTTCTTCAGAAGGGACCCAACGGCCCACAAGAGCACAGCAAAAGCCTCAATGTATGCTCCTCGGCATGCAGTGCAAATTAAAATTGAACAGTCATCAAGGATTAAGGTCTCTATCCTAACCATTTGAAGTTCCCTCAGTCTGTGTAGAGCTTTGTGGACATATGGACATACCTGCCTATCTCCTGCCTCTGCCTTCCTCAAAATCAAAATGAGTCCCATGCGATCTTGCTGATAAACTCTAGCATACCAACTCGACAAAGTTAGAGAATGATGCTTTGTTCAACATGACTCTAGGCAGAGACATTTTTAACAAGCTAGTTTTATTTATAGTAAGTAGCTCTAAAAACTACTTTAGGCTACCTACTGCTCTATCACTGAATTTTGGTTTTAGATTCAAATTCCATATTTTTCCATCAACTTAGACTTAGAAATAAGAGTTTCTCCTGTGTTACCATGTTGAAAAGCCACACATTAACCAACCAGTTAACAGTGGATGGTTTCATACAACAGAGAAGTCACTGCCCTGAGCAGTGATGACTCTGACAGCCCCTGTGTTAAACAGAGATTTGTCTCAAGGAAGATATAGCTCTGATATCTCTCCATCATGGTTACAGAGATCTGTTTAAAGCATTCTTTCACAACACAGACAGTCTTTCAAATATTAGAAATAGGCCTTCATAGTTTACATCCTTATCTTACCTCTTCCCTGCCTTATTGCCCCCATTTCTTCCTCTTATCCACAGCAAACACCTTCCGTAGTCCCTTTAACTACCTGACACATCAGGCCACCTCCTATCATCCTTGACTGCTTATCTGTCTCTCCCATAAGTATGCCACTCAGCAAAACAACCAAGAGAGTCCAGTGTGCTCCATTTTTTAAGACAGATTTACCGTTAAAGGATTTTATTTTAAAAACATGTAATATAATTAAAAGATAGACATTTTAAAGCATATTTTCATTAAAAAGTAATGAAAAATAAAACCCTAACTCTTTGCCTAACTTTTTAAAAAAGGTTATTTTAAAGGATTTTAAATGCAACATATAACACTACAAAGAATTTATTTCATTCACAGTCAGCCTTTGCTAACCTTAAGCGAGACTTAAAAAAAAAAAAAAATGAAGTGACCCACCTAAATGAAAAAGCAATATAATCCAGACAGGAATTGAAATTGCTCTCAAGTAGCGTTCAGTACTTGCATTCCACTTGAATGAAACAGTCAACACATAGCCAACTACCAAGGTCCAGATCTTAAATAAATGAAATATAGACAGAGTTGTAAAAAATATATACATATGAAAATGAACAGAATTATACCACATTTGTAAGGAATCTATATCCCATGAGTGCTAGGACACAGCATAGAGAAGGCTGGTGGTGCTAAAAGGAACGTGCCTAGGTCCTCCTCTAGTTTGTAAATTGTTTTGAAATAAAAAGGCATTTGAAAATTTCATGTAGTGAGATTTAAAGATTTCACAAATATACATCATTTTAAGACACTAAAGTTCAAAACCCATTTTATGCATAAATTACTCAAAATATTCAATTGAAAGTCTAACCTTGTTGAACTCCTAAAATTTCTATCAATTAATGCTTATAAAAGCAAAGGGAGAAGAAACATCTTTCTAAAACGAATCAGACTACAAAATGTATTTCAGTCTTATGTTTTGTTTTGTTTTTTTTATGCTTGGTTTCTATGGGGGTTTTTTGTTTGTATTTTAGTACTGGGGATTGAAGCTAGGACCTTTGCATTGAGCTATATCCCAGCCTTTTTTTTTCTTCCCTTGAGACAGGCTCCCATCACGTTGCTAAATTGCCCAGGATAGCCTACAACTTCAGATCCTCCTGCCTCAGCTCCCCAGAAGCCTGGAATTACAGACATGAGCCATTATATGCAACTAAAAATACACTTCTTACCGTGATAGGAAATTTTTTAAAGCTAGAGAGAAAGTAGTTATCTGAAGTGTGCCCTTGCTTTAATTATCTAGGTAACTGATAGTTAGACCCTAACCCAAAGTCATAGGCCCCAGTCGCAGCAGTGTGCCTGAAAAAAATGTTACTAGAGGAAGAAATAACAAAACTTGGTGACAGAAGACCCAGCCAGCTTTCCCTTCATTCTCCCTCCCTATACTAAAGTTAAATAGGTCGTACTTAAGAAGTATCATAAGAAAGCAGTGCAGTCTTCATAGAAACTCATTTTAATACAACATTACAAAAGGTAAAATACATAATCCAGAACAAATTTGAGCATCAAAGAAGAACTTAGTAAGAATGTAAAATTCAAAAGAGGAAAAAAGCAAATTAAGACAAGAACTTTAAGATATACTTTACAGCGTGAAGAAAAAGAACTAATAATATTACTATAAAAGTGTTATGGTTTGCGTCTGGATGTGTGTGTGTCCTCCCCCCCCACCCCCAGCCTCATGTAGTCAAGGGGCAGGCTTCTAGAGTTTATGACTGATCCATGGTCAATGCTGGGACTATGGGTGTGAGTGCTACATTTGCCCCGGGGCAGGTAGTTTGCATACAATATAAGGGAGGGGCAAAAGGCTGCTGATGCTCCTCCATTTGTTGCTTTTGCTATCTTCCACTGCGAACCCTCTGCCATGTGCCACCTGCCTTGGAGCCAGCCAAGTATGGACTGAACCCCCACAAACTGTGAACTAAATAAACCTTTCCTTCTTCAATTTTGGATGTCAGGTATTTTGTCTCAGCAACAAGAGAAAAATACCTAAGACAAAAAATGGCAAAAAAGTCCTACCAACTACATTCTTATGGTCACATCTATCAACAAAAATAATTTCTGGGTCTTAAAAATGTGTATGATTCCTGAATGGCAAATTCGGCTTTGCAGTTTATTCTTACAAAACAATGGCAGCTTCTAAAAATGCCTTCAGTATAAAGAAGCTCATCAGAATGTGAGCAGTGAAAAAGTGATCACCTAAAAGGTTGAAAATTGGGAAATGAATAACTATGGATAATTCATGAGATAAAATTTTCACAACCATTAAAATTGTTTTTTAAAAAAGACTACATAGGGCTGGGGATATAGCTCAGCAGCACAAACACCTGCCTGGCAAGTGCAAGGTCCTGAGATCAATTCCCAGTACCAAAAAAAAAAAACAAAAACAAAACAAAAAAAAAAAACACTACATAGCTGTGAGATTTCTAATATGGTATTAAGTTAAAAATAAAATACAAAAAAAAATTTAACACTTTCATATTGAAATGTGACAATATTAAAATATTTTTCTTCAAGCAACTCTATTAGACAAAATATTAAAGAGCTCTGAAGCCCAAAAATTAAGGACAAGGAAAATGTGATGACAGCCACTTCAAAACAGTTCAGGCTTGCAGAATCAGAACAATTAGCCCTGGAATTCCAAAGAGTTTGAGATCTGATTGTAAAACTCAAAGATGATTTGAGCACAATAACAGAACACTTACATAACATTATGTGCCAGGCCCTGCTGTAATACTTTAATTATATGAACTAATTTAATCTTCATAGCCTCACAAAATTAGTCCTATTATTGTTCCCATTTCACAGCCGAAAGAAATTGAGACTTCCGGGAAGTGACCTGTCCAACGTCACATAGCTAGTTAAATGACAAGACTGAACTAAAATCTAGGAATGTGGGTCCAACACTTGCTTTCTCAACCATAACATAAAGAAGTGTGGTGCTAGAAAAACTGAAGCAAAAACTGCTTCAATTTCCACAAAGGAAAATACAGTGAATTTAGAAAACTACAAATCACTGAAATAAAAATGATCCTCAGTAAATGGATAATGTTACGCAGAATGCCACATAAGGGTATAAACATCCTTTTAAACACTAAGCCAGTCACTTAGACGAAAAACTAGAAGGCATGCTATCAAACTCACAGATTACACAAAATTAGGAGTAGTAAAAAAAAAAACTTTGTGACCTATGATTCACAAAGATATCCTGCAGCTAGAACAACAGTTAATTCAAACAAGATTAATGAAGAGAAACACAAAATTACCCATTAAGATTAACTCTACTACGTAAGTAGGGAATGGAGGAGGACTTCTGAGCTTCTCAGTTCAGTATGCATCACAGTATGACTGGCATGAGGGCCTATTTATGAAGTACAATATTCCTTTCAAGTAAAGAGCTGACTTCAATACATTCTGCACTATCAAACTGCATGAGCATAAAATTTAAGCAGAGCAAAGTAATGAAAATCATAACATATGATACAGACATAAGAGAGTTGCCAACACTGCCTAGGCTTGGGAGAGAAGGGAAAATCAAGATTTCCCTTGATTTTCTATCTTCAAATAGTTGGCAAAAAGTTATCTGGAAGACACCTGAGACTTGTGATTCTGACACAGAAATAACCAATGGGAATTAGGAAGCAATAATTTCAGCTTAATATGAGGATAAACTTTGCTAACAAACAATAGCTGTCTAAAAATAGAGTAAGCTAAGTCACTAAAGGTATCTGAACAACTGCTGACCATAATTGAGGGATGACAGAGTTGGAAAGTCTGCCCTCAGCGAGAAGAGGAACTAGGAAATCATAGCCTCACAGTGTAAGGCTATGATTCTTTCAAACCCATCTCCACAGGGTTTTTTGCCTTACATTTTGTTTTACCTGTACTTACCAAGAATCAGTATTACTTGCAGGTAGAGACAAATAACAGCCTGCATACTTCAGCTCGTTTCACAGAAATTGATAATCCAAAGAGAATCACGTATTTTTATCTAATAAATCTGAAATTCACAGATTACCTCATCTTAGTTTAAAATAACTAGTTATTAAACGTACTTCTCAATTCTACTCTGAGTAAAGTATGCACACTGAACAGACAGAAATCAAATTATCCACTGCTACAGTTCACAATATAAAAAACTGGTAACAACCTAAACGTCATTTAATAAAGGGCTGTTTGAAAAATGGATACTTAGATGTTCAAAGGTGTGATGAATATCTAGGTTGAAAAACATAGTGTAAAATTATGCAAGCGTAAGTTTATAATGGTGAAAATACACTCCACAAAAAACATGCTAAATAACCATCTCTGGATGGCTGAATTTCAACAGGTAATTTGCTTCTTTCTGCTTTTTTACAAGTACTGCATTTTCTCTTAGGAGTATATAATATCTTTACAAATAGAAAAATATTTGTAACTTTTCAATAACTGGTCTATGGATTTTGAAAATATTTTGAGTACGTTCTGTGAATGAGAAAATATTAGTTCAAAAGAATATACCCATTTATAAAAAGGCTTAGTTTATACTCAACAACTGTCAATGGTTAAAAATGTTTATGAGCACTTTAATATAATTCAAAGCTAAGACAATCTCTCATAAATATTTTCTAGCCTGGTGTGGTGGGCACACCTATAATTCCAGCATTCAAGAGGCTGAGGCAGGAGGACTACTGCAAGTTCAAGGCCAACCTATACTACATAGGAATACCCTATCTCAAAAATGTCAAATGAAATACTTTCTAAAAGACATCCAGAGAAAGAAGTACTTATATGACTTCAGTAGTAAAAGAAAGTATTATCTATAAGCACTAACAAGAAAAGAGGCCCCTCCCCAAAAAGAAAAGAGGCCCATAATACAAGGATAAATGAAAGAGCAAGGTGCAGAATTATATGCATGGTACTCTATTTTTGTTTTAAAAATAGAAACCCTGTACTTTGTATGTTCACATGACCATAGAAATAAGCTTAAAAGGCTGGACACCAGCTAACAACAGTAACACCTGCACAGCCGGAATGATGGCAGGGAAAAGGGATGACTTACTTTACCAAATAAACTTCCACGCTACTCAAATTCTTTTTTGTAGAACCAGCATGTTTTACTTGAGTCAGCTTTTAAAATCACTAAATATCCCCTAAAATAACAATAAAAACAAGCATTTGTATATCCACATTTCACACACAGTTTAGGTTTTGGTTTTGCTAAGTATCAAACCCAAGGCCTCACCTATAGCAGGCAAGTGATCTACTCATGAGCTACAACCCCAGCCCCCCCAACCACAACTGCTTATCTCAAACCCCTTCAGAGTTTCTTATTCTTATTCCTTCCCTAACACAGAACACTAGAGCTAACAAGTCACTTTTATGTATAGAGTTCACCAAAACCTGTTCATATGTGAATTTTCTTCCAGGCCTAGATCAACAAGCTGCAGTTAGGTAAGAGGGCATACATTCCCAAATTTATTTTCTTCAGCACAGTGGGTTCTTTTCAAAATACATAGTCCACAGTCATTTTACAGCACCATAAAGTATATAAAACAGAGACTCTGCCTTTTCAGACTCTATCCTTGTTATTTATCGTCATCTGGGCATCAACGGGAAAACTTGCGTATTTTTGCAGAACACTTTCCCAAGTCTTTTCCGGGAGAATAAAACACTTTCTCCAAATTAAGGAGGCATAGCCCTAATCGCCAGGCACCTGCTTCAAGTAGTTTACTCTGCTTTAAAGCAGCTTACTTTAATTTGAAAAATATTCTTTATATGACAATTTCATCATATGGCAATTTGAGTTAAGAATTTTTACAACCAAAATCTTTAACTGTGAATGGCACTAATCTCTGGAAACTTCTTCTCACTGTTGCCAGGTAAGCCAAAGCAAACCTCAGAACCGTTTGGAAGTGGCCTGGAGTAGACACCAAAGGCTGGCTAACGTGCACTTCCTAAGGACCTCCTGTGATCTGTAAGACAGACCATCAGAGAAACTTGCACACTGTTCGGCCAACCCCTCACTTTACACAGCTGGGGGTCAGTGGTCCCGAGTAGCACCTTGGTCTGTCTCAAGTCACTAGGTAAGTTACTGACAGAGCCAAGTTTATAACTTGGTTTTCTGATCCTTCAGCCACTCTTCCTCATGCTTCCTTATAAGGATGGTATCAGAGACCATGGAGAAAACAAACCTATTACTACTGTAAAAACTCTTCATGATTTTCAATGTTTTCTTTTTAAAAAAAATGATGAAATGGGAGACGAGATCAGAACACTCCCAACAGAAGAGAATGGTAGAGTCAGATTTATCTTGCCCAACTCCACAACAGGGGGACTGCAAAACGGCTGGGTCACATGGAGCTTACTAGACCGTTTTTTAAAGGAGTCTGGAATCCTCACTCAGGACAATATTCCAATATATTTGAAGCTGCTGAAAAAGAATTACTCTGACCATGCAGGATTAACCTTTTGCTTGTAAGCAGGATAGCATGTTAGGAGGAAAGTGGAAAAAAGCTGAAGTAATCCAAGGTGAGGCGAAGGGAAACACAGCTGCCAATAAGCCACTGGCAAAGGAAGACCCAGCTACTGTGGATGCTACAGGAAAAGTGGTGAGGACCTGACAAAGCTATACAGATACACGGAAAAAAGAGAAAAGACTAGGTTTCTCGGTAACTAGAATCCCAAGGTCTTTGGGGGAATAACTATGCTTAGGCCAATCCTGAGATATTCTTCCTGATAACTAAAATCAACTTATATTTTAAACATTAAAAACTTTAAACATAGTATACTAGGGGAAACTTTGTAAAATCCTTATAAAGTTGGCCCAGTGAACGCCATTTACTGCTGGCATGAACAGATGCATTCTAAGTTAGTTTCCTAAGATATAAAATCCCTTCCTTCTACCTCACAAGATTTTTTGTTTTGGGCATTTGTGCCTGCTTTGCTTTGTTTTGCTTCCTTTTTGGAAACAAAGTCTCACTATGTAGCTGAACGTGACCTTGAACTCTCCATGCAGTCCAGGCAGGCCTCAAAAAGACAATTCTCCCCTCTCAGATTTGCCACACGCTGGGCTTACAGGTATGGTCTACCACATCAGGCTCAAAGGACTGTTCTGAGAAAGAAATTGCACCCACGGAAGGAACATAATACAGGGCCTACCAAGTGGTAGTGTTCAAAAGTTGGATCTTAAACATATGAACTGTCTGCTCAATAAAATATCTATGTGCTTGAATGGAACTTTTCTCTGCCTTTCTCATCTACGCCTTCCTTCAGCAGCAGGCTCACACAGACAGCTCTACCAACAAGCTGTCCAGACAGCATAAAGACCGCTGTTCCGTGGCAGCCCTGTTTGGGTTCACACAACCAATCTGCTGGGGAATGAGATAAAAGAGTTACACAGTGGGCCCCTATCCAGTCACATGACCGGCTGTCACGTCAGCCCAGGGCTTGCTCAGCACTTTCAGCTGAGGGCGCCCACGTGGTCCCCAAGTCCACCTCGCTCCACGCAGTTGTCCACGTCTACGCACTGCTTCTGCAGAACTCAATTCTAGGCCTAACTTCCCTCAAATTCAGATCAGCCTGGAGGCTCTATTCTCAGATTTAGCCTTCCAGTACTCATTCCCATTCATACTGCCACTTTTATAATGGGTTTGTTTTTCTAAAAACTCCTTCCCTTTTCCCTCCCTCCTATCACTGTGGCCAAACAGCTGAGTTACAAGCTTTTCCAAAATCATTAACTGGGGGTTTAGCTCAGTGTTAGTACAGGTAGTTAGCATATAAAAGGCCTTGGGTCCAGCCCTGAGGAAACCCACCCCCAATACCTTATTAATTGGTTTTACTTTCCTCCCTCCAGCCCTCAGGCTAATCAGTCTTGGCCTTCCCTTCCACTCATCCACAAGTAAAATACAAACATGAGGGTCTCTCGTCAGGAAAAAGCAGTATATACTGGGCTACAGATACATTTTTCCAAGTACTCAAGTCTGCCAGTATCTGAGAGACACTGGCAGAAATGCCTCTTTCCCTAACCATGACAGTGTACCTCTGTACTCAACTTCTTACTCCAGGTGAAAATACATGCTATTCACATATGGCGGCAGGCATTCCGGGTCTAATTTCCTGCAGTTTGATGGCTATGATACCTGTGCAGTACCAACACTCCAAAATGTTAGCAGACTTTGATAAGATTGAATTTGTGAAGATACAGAAGCATGTTATATAGTTCTCAACAGCAGTGATTCACCTTCTGTGCAAAAGGCATTTGATCCATTTAACTGAATTGTGAAATAAGATAAAAGTCCACTGAACTCTGCTTCATGCACAGGACTGCAGGCATAGCTCAGTGGCAGAGCACCTGCTTACCATGTGCAAGACTCCAGAATGGCAAAGAAAAAAAAAGAAAGAAAGAAAGAAAGAAAACCACTAGCTGTGTGACTTTGGGGCAGCCAGATTCTTGGGAGAATGTAGCTCCTAAGTGGTAATAAACATTTATCTTCTTTTTTACCAACTCCATTAAGTCATACCCATACATGGGTGTAGAGGTGTAACTCAGCAGTAGAGCTCTGGTTAGTGTGCATAAAGGCTCTGGGTTTAATACCACAAATACAGTCTGTTCAAATATGATTACATACACACACTGATGCCAGGGCCTGCAGCTCACCCTTTAAAAGAAAAAAATCTCTCACAGCACGCTCAGTCAACTTTAAATTTGAACTGAGAAGTGGTATTGATAGAGCAAAAGACAGGAGTTCCAGGATCAATTATCACTCTACCAGTAACCTCTAGAAAGTCAAAATCTTGCTTAACCGGTAAATGGAATTATTCTCTAACCTAATTACGTCAAGGTACATTGAACTTTATTACACTGACGAAACAAATGAATCAAATTATTTTAAATAGTATGTCTTAAAAGCCAGATGTGGTAGCGCATGCCTTTAATCCAAGTGCAGGTGAGGCTGAGGCAGGATGATGGTGACTTTGGTATACAACCCATTTGGGGCCAGCCCGAGCTAGAGAGAGATGAGAGAGAGAAGAAAAAGAAAGAGAGAGAGAGAGAGAAAGACAGAGAAAGACAGAGAAAGACAGAGAGACAGAGAGACAGAGAGACAGAGACAGAGAGAGAGAGAGAGAGAGAGAGAGAAAGAGAAAGAAAGAGAAAGAAAGAGAAAGAAAGAGAAAGAAAGAAAGAAAGAAAAAGAAAGGAGGGAGGGAGGGAGAGCAAGCGAGCTGCAGGAGCTGCAGGTCGAACCTGGGGCCTCAGGCACAATAAGCACACTCTCCCACTGCACTACATCACCAGCACCATGACAGTGTTTGCTAATCAACATTCTTAAGATAAATACCCGTTTCTAACAGTTCCCAATGTAGTCAGAGTTAGGAAATGTGTCAGTAGGTTCTACTATATGAAATTCCCTCCAATCCTAAATTTCCCTGGTTTTCTAAGCATAAACTCAGGGTGATCCAAGCATCACAAAAATCTCCCTCCATCCAATCCGCTGCTGTATTCCAAGCAGAGCGAGAGGACGCGCTGCAAAAACTTAAGAATAAGAAGAGGAAAAGCCTGGGTGCTCAGCACACAGGACCTCGCACACACTCTTAAAATGGCCTGAAGGGGAGGTAGCACCAGCCTGTGAAGCAAGCTTTGTTTTAGGATTTGTGAAATCAGAGTTTGCCAGTCCTTTCTTTCTCTTTGTCCCTAACTAGCCCTGCCAAGCTGGTCAGAAGTCACCTCTCTTATCAGTAAGAAAGCAAGTTGGCTTTCGGGCCACAGCACCCCTCCCCCTTCGGCCAGGGATCTCGAGCTCTGGGGCCTCTCCCGGCAAAGTGGAGCGGGGCGTCTCACTCTGAAGAGGGCCTAAAAGCAGGCAAGGCTGCTCCAAAATCATACCCGCCTCTCTCGGGAAGGAAGTGTGCCAAGTTCCCCGGGTGTGGGAAGGCGGGCAGAAAGTTAACTCGCTGCAGGCGGGTGCGGACTCCGGATCGCACATCCTCAGCGAAGAGGACCGCGCCCCAACGAACCGGGGGTGCAGCGAGGGCTCGGGCCGCCGCTAACTCACCCACAGGCTGCTGAAGTAGTCCAGCCCGCGGCAGATGAGCACGCCCGCGTGCGCCAGCAGCACCTGCACGCCCAGGTAGCTGCCCAGGCAGTAGAGGCCGTAGAGCAGCGGGCCGCCCGCGCCCAGGAACAGCAGCAAGCGGCGGCGGCGCAGCGCCTGCTCGCCCAGGGCCTCTACGCCGTAGTCGGCGAAGCACAGCGGGAGCAGCAGCGCGCCCAGGACGATGGGCGTGTGCGCGCGGTGCAGGCGCTGGAGCCAGTGGCGGCCCAGGCGCGTCAGCGAGCTCTTGAAGGGGTGCAAGAAGGTACCGCACAGCACAGCCCACAGCAGCGGCCGCAGGAAGGCCTCGAGGATGAAGTAGACCAGCACGGCGGCGCCGCAGCACAGACACACGAAGAGCACGGCCCCCGTGTTGTAGAAAGCCTGTTTGATGGGCTTGTCGAAACGCAGCGCGAGCGCCGCTGCCCGCGGAGTCTCCCCGCTGCCCCGTCCCGCCGAGCGAGGAGCTCGGGGCTCCTGCCGAGGGGAGCCCCGCGGGCTAGGGTCCTCGGAGGGGCCGCCACGAGCAGCCATCGCGCCTCTGCCGTCGCCGAGGGGCGGTCCTGCCAGCGGGCGTGGAGCGCCGAAGAGGCTGGCGGCGTCGCGCAGCCTTGTGGGAGTCGTAGTTCCTGGCTGGCGGCCACGCACGTGCGAGAATCTCAGAAAACTACCACTCCCAAGGGGCTTAGCGTGAGCTCCTCCATCCCCTTCCCCTATTGGTCCCCGCGGGGTCTTGATAAGTTTCTGAAGCTAAGAGCGGAAAATAAACTTCCTTTCCCTGGTTGATGTAAACTTACCCCTCGGCAGGATTCCCTAAAGACGGATAATCTAGGCTGCACATTAGAATTCCGTGGGGAGTACTTATTTGAAAAGATCGATGCCCAGATTCTACAATACTGATTCATTTAATAAACACTTTTAAAGTATTCGCGGGCCAGGGATATAGCTCAGCTGCACTACGCCTGCCTGGCAAGTACAAGGTCCTGAGTTCTAATTGCTTTAGATAGATGATAGATAGATAGATAGATAGATAGATAGATAGATAGATAGATAGATAGATAGA